ATTTAATTCTTCATTCTTTAATGAAAATAAAATTAATAATCAATCAAATCTCCCCAAGTAGGATTCAAACCTACGACCAGTCAATTAACGGCCGATCGCTCTACCACTGAGCTACTGAGGAACAACGGGAGATTCGACCTCATATATAGAGTTCAACTCCCGTACGTTCTCAACCCATGAGTCCGAAGCTTCCTTCGTAACTCCCGAAACTTCAATCGTTCATATTATCTTTCCATAGTATAGAAAGAAATAACAAAAAAACAAAAGGTATGTTGCTGCCGTTTTGAAAAGGAGTAAGGATCACCGAAGTAATGTCTAAACTCAATGATTTTACAAAGTAAAGAGAAAGGATTCCGGAAGGAGTAAGGATCACCGAAGTAATGTCTAAACTCAATGATTTTACAAAGTAAAGAGAAAGGATTCCGGAATAAGAAAACACTATTTTTAATTGTCTCAATCATTTTATTATAATGAAGAGGAAAAACAGATTCGAGGCGAGACAAATAAAATAGGTTAGAGACGACTCAAGAAATGTCTAAGGATTTATCTTCGAACTTTTTCAGAATTACCCAACTTGAGTTATGAATACGAATGATATTTCTTTTATTCTGTAAATAAGAACAAAAAACGACTCAAATCATAAATTCATGATTTTATGGATCCATTTGTTATTATATACAGAAATATTAGAATCATTTTTTCTCGAGCCGTATGAGGAGAAAACCTCCTATACGTTTCTAGGGGGGGGGGGGGGGGGGGGTATTGTTTATCTACATCTATCCCAATGAGCGATCTATCGAATCGTTGCAATTGATGTTCGATCTCGAAGAGAAGGAAAAGATCTTCGAAAAGTGGGTTTTTACGATCCGATACAGAATCAAACTTATTTAAACGTTCCCGCTATTCGTTATTTCCTTGAAAAAGGTGCTCAACCTACAGGAACTGTTCATGATATTTTAAGGAATGGCAGAGCTTCGTCTTCACCGAGGAAGAATTTGATTTGAAGCGCTGAGATCGACCAAGCGAAATCAGAGCTCTTCTCGAGATTAAGTCCAAGCCTAATCTCAAGGGACGGACGGGAACGGGTGTCGGATCTCTCGAACTCTCCTTCTTTATGCCGAAGAACTCGCCAAGATCTGTCAACACTCGCTGAAATTCGTGCTCCTTTGACTCCACAATCCGGCAGCACCTCCTCGTCTTGATAATCAATCGCCCCCGCTGAAAGGAGGCCCTATGCTTGTATTTATAGGGCTTCGGAAGCGGTTATTTGGATGAGAACAAGTAATTTGGCTCTATCTTCAGTTAACAACAGCCTAACCACGTTTGGGGATGATATCAGGTCAGTTAGAAACCCCTGGAACTGAAAAGATCTCGAGAAAACCGTTAAAACCGTCGAAATACACATCAGGGGGTCAAAACAGCGCGGCAGACTGGTCTGACCCGCGCTTGCGCGGGTCGGACCAATCCGACCCGCCAATCGGTGAAAGACTAAACCGGCAACGCATGTTAGGCGTAGGCTTATCTCTATTTAGGAGTCGAGATAAAGTTCCCCACGTGTGTATGACGTGGATTTTCGCGTTATTAATAACGGCCTGCCATAATGTCGAATATGTGGGCTTTTGTCCTTTTCACGGCAAAAGACTAACCGGCAACGCGTGTTAGGCGTTGACTTATCCCTGCTTAGGATTCGGGATAAAATTCCCCATGCATAAAAGGCATGGATTTTTGTTGCTACGATGCTGAATACGTAGACTCGGTCATTTTTACGGGAACGAACCACCCAGCAACGCGGGTTAAGCGTTGACTTATCCCTACTTAGGCTTCGGGATAAAATGCCCCAGACTGGATTCTGGTGTCTTTTTCAATCGGTGAAAGACTAAACCGGCAACGCGTGTTAGGCGTAGGCTTATCTCTATTTAGGAGTTGAGATAAAATTCCCCGTGCACAAAGTGCACGGATTGGAAGTTGGGAATTGTGTCTTTTCTCAGGGTAAAGACGGACTGGAAAATGGAAGAGGAAGAATTTTATATTCTATCTCCCGGCACTGAAGAGGAAGAATTTTATATTCTATCTCCAGTTGGAAAGGAAACTCAAGGTGGGATCTCCACCCTCAGAATCCGAAATGATGAAACTAAGAGTGGGATCTCCACTCCGAGAATCGGAAAGATTCAAACGACCCTAACTTTTATAGGATTGGTCATTCGATCCAAAAAGAGTCCCTCATTTATTGAGGAGAAAGCCCAATTTCGACCCTAACTTTTATAGGTTTGGTGGAAAAAGGAAAAGATGGAAGTCTTTCGTTTATCGAAAAGGATAACTCAATCTTAGTCCTAACTATCTGCAGGTTTGACTAAGTAAAGTTGGAGACAATCCTAACTTTTATAGGTTTGATTGCTCAATTGAAAGTGGACCTCTCGTTCATGAAAGGAATCGAGAGGAGAATCTGGTTGTGGCCCTAACTTTTATAGGTTTGACCAAGGAAGCAGTGGAAGTGGGAGGTTTGAGATGATCTTACCTTTTACAGGTTTGATCGTTTAATTTGAAAGTGGACCTCTCGTTCATGGAAGGAATCGAGAGGGGACTTTGGTTGTGGTCCTAACTATAGGAAGGTTTGACCAGGTAGACAGTGAGAGTGGGAGTACAAATCATAGTGGGGGTTTAGTGTTTATCACCTTGTTCGTAATTATCGGGTTATCCCTAAGAAAATTACATATAGCGTTCTTCTGGGAACTTCCCATTACATGAATCATCCACCCCCAGCTTCTTTCTTGGAACTGGGTCTGACTTTGTACTCCGTTACATGACCGGGTTATCCTTAAGAATATTAGCGTAACATTCTCCAGGAACTTCCCATCAACGGTAAGAAACACATGTCTGGGTTATCCTTAAGAATATTAGCGTAACATTCTCCAGGAACTTCCCATCAACGGTAAGAAACAGTTTAGACTCATATACCTATTGGAGTATCAGGGAGCAGTTTAACCTCATATACCGATTGGAGGAGTAAGAAGCAGTTTATACTCTTATACTTGTCGGAGTGTTGAGAAGCACTAATTGAGCGATATAACGCCGGCTTCAACCAAGGTTTGGATGCTATTCTTTAAAGTAAAACAAGCCTTAAGGATCCTTCTGTGGTATGCACAATACTTTGGATCCAAAATGTTATCAGCTTCCTCCTGATTTGTGATGGGTGGAAGCTTAATCTTGTTGTTTTCAAGGAGAGATTCGAAGATGGCTGGAACGTCCTCGTCCTTGAAAGAATACTCTTTTTGGAGTCTCGGGTCCGAAGTCTTTTGCTGCCTTCGGCATTGCTGTTGTGACGTTTGATTTGTACTAACAGCAGCTGCAGGTGCCTTTCCTTTACTACGGGAGGCAAAGTTCGAGTTCGGAGGATTGACCGTCGGTTGGCTCCTCTCGGCTTTCTTCCTTCGGAGGAAGCGTTCAGCTCGCTCTCCGCGCATCTTCAACTCTTTCCAAGTGTTGGATGGTGCAACTCCCATAACTTCTAATATCTCAATAGATAGGTTGTTATGACATGTCTGGAGGATGAAGTCCTCCGTGATCGGATCTCGGCAGTTCATTGCTTTATTCCGAAAGCGCTTGACGAAGTCGTCGACTGTCTCGTCATCTTCTTGTTTCTCATCGAAAAGTATCCTGATGGATACCTCGTGATCTTCCAGGACTTGTACTTTCTCCCGTTTTACTCATCCGTCGTGTTGACTTGTATGCTCTACGCGAGTTGATTAATGTACGTTGATTAACGCCATCGTGAACTGATTGACGCGCGCACTGATTGACATGCACGAGCTGAATGATGCGTGCGTGTTAACTGACTGTTGGGTGCGTTTGTACGCTTTGATTCGCCGTTTTGCTTTAGGCGCTTGTCGGCGTTAGATAATCCTCTTAGACTCGGATAACAATGTTCGTCGTCTTCTCTCTGTCTCGAGCTGTGTGTGGATACCTATAGGCATTTTTAGACGCCTACACCGTATGAGGAGAAAACATCCTATATGTTTCTATGGATTCTGGTGTCTTCTTCAATCGGTAAAAGACTAAACCGGCAACGCGTGTTAGGCGTTGACTTATCCCTACTCAGGATTCGGGATAAAATTCCCCGCGCGTGTGAGGCATGGATTTTGGTGTTATTAATAACAACCTGCCACAATGTTGAATATGTGGGCTTTTGTCCTTTTTACGGTCAAAGACTAACCGGCAATGCGTGTTAGGCGTTGACTTATCCCTGCTTAGGATTTGGGATAAAATTCCCCATGCATAAAAGGCATGGATTTTTATTGCTACGATGCTGAATACGTAGACTCGGTCATTTTTACGGGAACGAACCACCCAGCAACGCGGGTTAAGCGTTGACTTATCCCTACTTAGGCTTCGGGATAAACTGCCCCAGACCGGATTCTGGTGTCTTTTACAATCGGTAAAAGACTAAACCGACAACGCGTGTTAGGCGTAGGCTTATCTCTATTTAGGAGTTGAGATAAAATTCCCCGTGCACAAAGTGCACGGATTGGAAGTTGGGAATTGCGTCTTTTTACTCGGTCATTTTTACGGGAACGAACCACCCAGCAACGCGGGTTAAGCGTTGACTTATCCCTACTTAGGCTTCGGGATAAACTGCCCCAGACTGGATTCTGGTGTCTTTTTCAATCGGTGAAAGACTAAACCGGCAACGCGTGTTAGGCGTAGGCTTATCTCTATTTAGGAGTTGAGATAAAATTCCCCGTGCACAAAGTGCACGGATTAGAAGTTGGGATTCTGGTGTCTTTTTCAATCGGTGAAAGACTAAACCGGCAACGCGTGTTAGGCGTAGGCTTATCTCTATTTAGGAGTTGAGATAAAATTCCCCGTGCACAAAGTGCACGGATTGGAAGTTGGGAATTGTGTCTTTTCTCAGGGTAAAGACGGACTGGAAAATGGAAGAGGAAGAATTTTATATTCTATCTCCCGGCACTGAAGAGGAAGAATTTTATATTCTATCTCCAGTTGGAAAGGAAACTCAAGGTGGGATCTCCACCCTCAGAATCCGAAATGATGAAACTAAGAGTGGGATCTCCGCTCTGAGAATCGGAAAGATTCAAACGACCCTAACTTTTATAGGATTGGTCA